CTTCAATTACTTTTGAACCTTTAACCTTTAAACCCTGTTGGGCTAAGGTTTAAAGGTTTCGGGCTAAAGATTTCGGCATTTAAACCGATTCCGGCAATTAACGCTAAGCCTTTAACCTTAAAACCCTATAGGGTGAAGATATGTTATGGTTTAGGGTTTAAGTTTAAGGTTTAGGTATTTCGACCTATGCCGGCAGTTCATATTGAACCCTTAACCTTAAACCCTATAGGGATAAGATTTAAAGGTTTAGGATTCTTTACTTAGACATTTAAATCTAAGCTTGCAATTAAACCGAAACCCTTAACCTTTAAACCCTATAGGGTGAAGGTTTAAAGTTTTAGGGTTTAAGATTCAGACATTTAAACCTAAGACGGCAATTAACAATAAACCCTTAACCTTTAAACCCTATAGGGTTAAGGTTTAAAGGTTTGGGGTTTAAGATTTAGGCATTTAAACCTAAGTATGTAATTAAATTGTCACCCTTAACACCCTTAAACTTTGTAGTGTGAAGGTTTAAAGGTTTAGGGTTTAAGATTTAGACATTTAAACCTAAGCCCATAGAGTTTAAACCTTAAGGGTTTAAGGTTTAGGCATCTATTCCTTACCCCTAAACCCTCTAGGGTCAGGACCCTAAAGCCCTCGGCAATCAAGCCTAAACCCTTGACCTTCAAACCCCATAGGATGAAGGTTTGAAGGTTTGGGGTTTAAGACTTATGCATTTAAACCTAGAGGGCATTTAAGCCTTAACCCTAAACCCTTCAGGGTCAGAACCTTAGCACCCTATAGGGATCTAGCACCTGCAGGTATACATCGGTTTTCTCAAAACCATCTTTTTCTCGAGAAAAAAATGTTCCGAACCAAAAAACCATCTTTTTCTCGAGAAAACTTAAAAAAAAAAGACATCTTTTCCAAAACTATGGGGCTGGGGCATCCAAAAGATGTTTTTTTTTTTTTTTTTTTTTTGTGTTTTTGGTTTTTTTTGTTTTCTCGAGAAAAAGATTTTTTTTGTTCTAAACCATCCTTTTCTCGAGAAAAAGATGGTTTTGAGCAACCATCCTTCGAAAAACCATCTTTTTCTCGAGAAAAAGATGGTTTTTGGAGGTCTTCTACTGGTAAAACCATCTTTTTCTCGAGAAAAAGATGGTTTCGAACCAAAAAAACAATCTTTTTCACGAGAAAACCAAAAACCATCTTTTGGAGGCCCCAGCCCCAAAGTTTTGGAAAAGATGTTATTTTTTTTGTTTTTTTTGGTTCTTTTGTTTTTTTTTGGTTTTTTTGGTTTTTTGTTTTTTTGGTAGTTTCTTGTTTTGTTGTTTTTCCCTTGATCTGGCTAGGACTCGGCTGCCACCCACGGTGGGTCCATTGGGGGGGGGGGGTGAGCATATATATATATATATGCATAGTTTATTTATACACATATACGAACATATGTGTATATATATATGTGAGAGGGGCCTTTGGGGTCTATTTGGACACAATACATTAATTCATTTAATTCATTTAATTCTGCAGCCAAGTCGCCCCGAATTAAATGAATTAAATGAATTAATTAGTTAATTCATTTAATTCATTTAATTCTCCAGGCAAGGCCCCGAATTAAATGAATTAAATGAATTAATTAAT